TTCCCATATTGTTCTTAGTGTCTAATTTTGTCAAATTTTGATCAGCTGGTGTGGCTTGGATGATTTTTTCTTTTTGGAATTTGATGAGATACACTTTATGATGTACTTTTTGGTCTGTTTTTGTAACTGTCCCATTTACACTTAAAATAATGTGCATTCTTTGTTGATTAGATGCAAATCTCCACAAAAATCAGATTTGGTTAATTTTTTAATTAATATTCTCAATACCCTTTGGACATGTTTTTTTCAATGTTGGGGATGAAACCCAAGGCCTCACACATGCTAGGCAAGTAGGTGCTCTACCTCCATTTTCGTGAACTAGCAATTTCTGGGAGAAATATGATCAAAACTCTCCTAGGAGAATGAACTCATGAGTAATATGAATTTGCCAATTTTTCCGAGGGGGCGGTAACTGGGATTTGAGTGCAGGGCCTCACACTTGATTGGCAGGTACTCTGCCATTTGAGCCATTCCCACCCCTGCTAATTATTTTTGTATTTCTATTAGTTGTTGCTTTAAATATTTCCATGTTATCTTAAGTGCATAGTGGTTTGTGAATAGTTTATCTTCTTGGCAAATATCTTTCACCAATGTGAAATGTTCTTTTGGGGGGGGTTCTTCTGGTTTTTTTTTTTTTTTTTTTTGCTTTATATTGTATTTTGTCTGATAGTTATATTGCTAAAACTCCTTTCCCTGTGTTATTCTTTGCCTGGAACATCTTTGTTTTCTTGCTTCCTGAGTACTTTTGAATACAGAGCTTGCAGTGTCTCTAGGTTTTGTGGCAGTCTTTGTTGTGATCATTTTGGATGGTGCCTTCCTACCTGCCTTCTTCTTCCTTTTTTTTTTTTTTGTGGTACTGGGATTTGAACTCAGGGTCTCACACTTGCTGGGCAGGCACTCTACCACTTGAGTTACTCCATCAGCCTTTTTTGTGTTGGGTATTTTCAAGATAGGGTCTCAAAAACTATTTGCCTGAGCTGGCCTCCAACTGTCATCCTCCTGATCTCTGCCACCTGAGTAGCTAGGATTACAGACATGACCACCAATCATGGTTAGCCTTCTATTTTTCATATATGTTAAATGCCCTCTTTTCCATAAAATGGCAAAAAAAATGTTTTCTACCACTATTAAAAACTGAAATGTTTGTTTTTCATCCTTTAAGGCAGGAAGGAGAGATGTCGTTTTATGTTCAGGTGGCCATTTTGAGCCAGTCCTACACTCTCTGTAACATCAGATTTCCTTCCCACCTTCATTTTAAAACATTCTTTCCTTCCCTTCCAGCATGGCTGACCTGCATTTTGAAGGAGCCGTGAGAGATGTGGTGTCAACTAAAGTTTGTGGCTATGTTTAGTCAACACACTCATTGAAAAAATCTCTTTGGGTTCCATTTCTTTGTGGTCTACAAGTTGACTGCAGGTTGATGCTGCAACTTGTGTTTCACTAGCATGCATTATTTAGTACCAGCTTTCACAGCTGTATGTTATCTTCTTTCCCATATCATTCCCAGAACATTCTGTTTAAATTGTAAACAGTCTCTTTCAGATAGCACTACTAGTGACATCGAAATATTGTTACTCTCTGGGTGATTTACTGGCAATACAAATATTCTAGTCTCTTCCATGGGAAAAGTATGTTTTAAGCTACTGACTAGACTAGTAGCAAGGCCTGGCACAAACTAAGTACAATATAACTCTTGGCAATTTTCAGCCATTAAAAGTAGCATTTAGAATATACAATTTTTAGAGTCAGAGGGGAAAAAAAACCCCAAAATTATTCATAAAAGACTTGAAAGTGTTTTGCTTTCTTGTTTTATTTAAAACATTTCCACCTCATTTTCTATGTTTTTCTTTACACATCAAAGGGAGTTTATTTTTATTTGTAGGTCATCAAAATTCCAGCCAGAGGCTCTCAGACTCAAAAGGGCTTCCTTAAGCCCATTGTGTGATGCTTTCGAGGTTTTGTGCTTTTCCTAAGTTGATCCTTTGGCTTGGAGAAGAGCTAGTAACAGAATATAGGTGTCTGTGTAGTCACACATACACTTACATTCACAAAAGATTCTTTTTGGGGGCAGGGGGGAGAAATGACCCAAGCCTTGTATGCACATATGAATAATAAAATAATAATAATAATAAAAAAGATTCTTTTTTAAGTCCTATTTCATCTGCAAATGACTAAAACTCCTGGAAAGAAACTCAGTGGCAAACATGGATTCCTTCCATTGTTATGGGAGGGAGCACTGAGCAGGAAGGATGAATTGATGATTTGCTAAAATAGTCCAAATCAAGAGATGTCAGGAGAGCAATGTGGTGTCTTTCCTACTAGCAATACCTTCTCTATCACCATCTCCAAACCCTCCCAGCCTCGCCATCTTCTTGCCACACATCTCCATTTTTTAAAAGGACTGTTGCCTTTTTCAATAAACTATTTCATCAATTCATCCCTAGAGGAACAAAAAATATAAGCTTATGGTTTAGTTTTTAAAATGTGGATGTCTTTCTGATTGGTAGTGACCTTAAGAAAAAGTCAGCCAAATCTGAGACTCAGGTAATCCATTGTAAATTAGACGATGATCTACCTGTTATCCCAAATAAACTAGAAGGATGGAGACACAATATTGCTTTATATTCCTTCCAGCTCTTTGTCTGCTGCTTCCTCTTGTGTGGAAGTCCATTTGTTCATTAACCTGGCCCAGCTCCTCTCAATTGGGCACATGGCAGGCTCTCAGGTAAATATATATTCTAAACTGTGCTCTGTATAGCATACATGGAGCGCACTCTCTGCCTCTAAGTCATGAATCATTCTTTAGACTCTAATGAATTGACAAACATAGATTCTAAGAGCCTGAAAACTATGAACAGTGGACTAGCTACTAGTTTCATAAATAAATTTTGGTGTGAACACAGGCAAGCTCATTCATTTACTTATCATCTATGGTTGCTTTCTTTACAAGAGCTGAGCTGAATAGGCATGACAGAGACTGTAATGACCTGCAAAGTAAGGAAAAACTTTGCCAACCTTTGCATTTAGGATCTATTTATTGCCTTTTGTGACCAACCTGGAGTTTGAGCCAGTCTGATTCACAGGCTAGCCAATGTGTAAATCAGCAAACAGTAAGTAACAGTGTGTATTCACATGGAGCATTACAGATTATAAAGCATTTCACATGCTAACACTTCTAATCTCGCAATAACCCTAGAAAATAGACAGATGAGTATTACTTTTCATGAGGAAAGGGATTAAAAAACATTAAATGATTTTTTTCTTTTAACAGCTAAAATGATCCCTTAATCTCTGGCAAATGCTTATCTTGTTTTTAGAGATGGGTGGTGGTGGTTACTAACATTGTCATCTCATGATGCACTGATTGAAATGATATATTAGAAGGTCACCTACAATTAATTGTATTCTGTGTATATACTGCATCTTCTAGATACTGTATTTTAATGTCACTATAACATAAAATGTTATCTAATGGTTTAAAAAATAAATTTGGGCCTAAGTTGTAATTTTTAAATATAGCATTAGGTTTTTGAAATCTTAGAACCTGCTAGATGAGTCAAGCTACATGGTGTTTCTTAGATTAACAAAAGTAAGAAAACAAACAAAGAAACAAAACCCCCAAACACTCTTGGAATAGCAGAGAAAAATAAGTATCTTTGGAAAAATAACAAAAAGTTGATGTGGTGCTCTGTGAAATGAGTCAAATCCTATTGAAGTAAATGTTGCATTGGTGGCTACAAACTTCTAAGTGAGTATCATAATCTGTTTTTTGTTATTTTTGGCAGTACTGGGGCTTGAATTTAGGACCTGATGCTTGCTAGGCAGGTACTCTATCACTTGAGTCATGCCCCTGGCCCCTGGTTTTGCATCACCCAAGAATTGATTTTCTGCATGACTAAACAACTCAGGAGGAATCTTTAGGTGACAACCCAAGACACTGTTGTATGAGAGTTGGAAAAAATTAATACAATGTACTGTGTGATTCCTAATATGTAGCGGTGGGTAAAAAGCAAATCTATGATGACAGTAGAAAGATAGCTGGTTGCTGGACTTGGGGTGAAGGGGAGATGGATAAGTGGAGGACAGAGGATTTTTAGGACAGTGAGACTGCTCTGTATAATCCTCCATTGGTGTACATGTCATTGTACATTTGTCAAAACCCATAAAATGCATGACACCAAAAGTGAACCCTAGGAAACCAGGCATTGTGGTTCAAACCTGTAGTTCCAGCTACTCTGGAGAAAGAGGCAGGAGGATTCAGTTTGAGGCTAGCCAGGCAAAGGTAGTGGTGAGACCCTGTTTGAAGATAAAAGGGGTGGGGAGAGAGTGTAGCTCAAGTGGTAGAGGGCTTGCCTAACATGTGCAAGGCCCTGGGTCGAATCCTCAGCAGCGCAAAAAAACCCAAAGTGAACCCTAATATAAACAATGGGTTTGAGCAATGATGGATAACCACGTGTTCACGTAGATTCATCAGTGTAATAAAAACACTGCTCTGCTGGGGTTCCTGATAAGGGAAGAGGAGGCTGTGCGTGTGTGGGAACACAGGGCCTGTGGGCAATCTGTATCTTTGCTCAACACTGCCGTGGACCTAAACTCCTCTAAAGTATAAAGTCTGTTTCTAGAAAATTAGCAAAATGATCCCACCAAGGCCACAATCTTACATCCTTCTCGGAAGGCTCACGAATGTGCATTTAAAACTAATTGCTGGAGGCAGGCGCCGAGGGCTCATGCTTGTAATCAAGAGGTAGAGATCAGGAGTATCGTGGTTCGACGCCAGCCCAAGCAAATAGTTTGATGTGACTTTACCTCAAAAAACCCATCACAAAAAAAGGGCTGGTGGAGTGGCTCAAGATGTAGGTCCTGAGTTCAAACTCCAGTCCCACCAAAAAACAAAACACCACCACCACCACCACCAAAACCCCATTGTTGGGCATACTCTGGTGTGAATACAAGAAAAAGACTTGCGTCCTCCCAGGCTGGACCCATAGCACAGAACTTACTTCACACCCAGACCGGAGCTCCCATGAGCAGGACTCTTCAGGAGGCAGCATTCGGCTTTGGAAAGCATGGGCCCCCAGGCAGGACTGGCACAAGGCAGGCTCAAAGTCTGGCTCCCCAGGAGGGAGGAGCACCCCTGAGGGCCCGGGGTACTGCAGGCTGGGACTCTGATGCTTGTCCGCACTCACCATTGGGCTCTTGATCCATCTTCGGACCTACAGAGTGCAGAAGAAAAGAGAAAGCAGATGTGTTCGCCACCTCTGAAGTTTAACGCAGCTCAGGTGGGAAATTTGGTAAGATGGATACTCATGAAAGTCCAGCCTCACAACCAATCTGTCTTCCAGCCTTTACACAGCCCAAATGGGTCCCTGCTCACGGGTCCCTTTCCAGGACCGTGTGTGCTTTGGCTGTTCATTTCCTCTCACTGAGTCTGTCTCCACATTTATGAGATTGGGGTGATATTTTCTCCCGGGTTGTAAAATTTTACAATGTTTTTATTTTATTTTATTATTTTCCTGCAGTGCGGGGGATTGAATCCAGGACCTTGGACATACTAGACAAACACTCTAGCACTGAGCTAGATTTCCAGTCCTACAGTGCTTTTGTTTTTATTTTTATTTATTTATATTTTTTGAGCCAGGGTCTTGCTATGTAGGCAACTGGCCTCAAACGCTCGATCTTTCTCCTCCACCTCCTGAGTGCTGGGATTACAGGCACGAACTACCATACCTGGACCTACAATGTTTTTAAATGTCCAGGTGCTTGGGCCCATAGTTGTTCAATAGATGGTGACTATTTTACTTCTGCTGTTATTGTTAGGATTATTCAGATAGAATGACAGTTCGTTCTTTTACTTTTTGTAGTACTGCGGTTTGAACTCAGCACCATATGCTTTCTAGGCAGGTGCTCTAGCACTTGAGCCACTCCTACAGTCCAGTACTGTAATTCGTACTTCTAAGGCAGATTGCTAGTTTTACTTCCTAGGGAAAATACTAGCACCATACTTTAGGACCTAATTGTTTCTAAGCCAGGTAATACATATTTCACTATGCAAAAACTGTTTTATAAAAGAAGTTGTTTCTTGCTGAGAAGTTATCTCATTTGTTCTTAAAGTTCTAAAACTTACTGCCTGACTTTCTTGCATGTCCTGAATTCCTGAAAGGTACAGAAAAGAATACAGCTATTCAAATATTAAAAGAGACGAGTTATAGCACCTTAAGTAAGAAAAGCACTTTTAAGTGCCTGACATGTATCATTTTGTTTAATCCTCAGAATAGTTTTATAAGCTAGGTATTATTATTAATCCCATTTCACAGATGAGAAAACAGAGGTAAAGTGAGATGATGCAAGTTTCTCAGGGTAACCTGCTGGTGTAGAGCAGAGGCAACACTGAGGCATCCTGAATCCAGAATTTGCAAGCATTCAGCTTCTGACAAGCGTTGGAATATTGTAAGACTTGTGGTCATCAAATACTTGAAGATTATTTGGATTTAATATGTCACTCCACGCTTTTTAAGACTCCTGTGGAGTGACATAATGAAGTATTGAATTTTAGTTAGCAATGCTATAATTAATTTTTATAAAACAATGCTGAGAATAAACTAAAATTGCAACAGCAAAAGAAAGTTTAAACTCTTTGTTATTTTACTTAATGGAATACAATACCACCACTAAAAATAAATACTATGAAGGCTAACAATATGGAAAATGTTTACAGCATAATTATATTAAAAAAGCTAAATATGGAATTGTTTAATTGCTATAATTACAAATGTAAAAATATATACAGTAGCTATAGACAAAACAAGTTATAGGCAAAAGAGATACTGTTGTCATCACTGTTAAGATAACAAGTGTTTTATTTTTCCTTATTTTTTTTTTATTTTTGGCGGCACTAGGGTTTGAACTCAGGGCCTCACACTTGCTAAGCAGGTGCTCTACTGCTTGAGCCACTCCTCCAGTACTATTTTTCCTCTTTTGCAGCATCCTGCCCTTTAATTTTTTAATTGTCTTTTAATTTTTAAAGAATCATTTTATTTAAAGTTTATAAGAATCTTAGGTAATTAAAATTGTGTTTCTTTCTTTGGTTACACAAGTGTCTTTTAATTTCTTTATTTGCTTTGTTCATATGTACTCTTGTATAGCTGTTTAAAATCTGAGTTTATTATCCGATTGTTAAAGTGTGGAAGTTTCCATCAATATTTCTTGCACTAGAAGGGTCCCTAAGTATATTACTAGGTGCATTCAAAAGTGTTCATTTGTTGGATGTGGTGGTAGCTGCCTGTAACCCAGTACGGACGAGGGAGAGGCAGGAGGATTGAGAGTATGAAGCCATTCTGAGCTACACAGTAAGTTCAAGGCTATCCTGGGCCGTAGAGGAGGCCCTGCCTCAAAAAAAAAAAAAAAAGTGTTTGAGGGGTTGGGAGGATAGGTGCGTGGCAAAGCATTTGCCTAGCACATGTGAGACCCTGGGTTTGATCCCTACCAACATACGCGCACACACACACACACACACACACACACAAATTATGATTCATTAATGAGAGTCCAAATGAAACTCTCAAAATTTGAGAGTATGGTAGAACTTTACCTCTTCCTGATATTAGTCACAAAGGCTTTTTGGGCGACTGTTGGGGGTTGGAGAGGGGCAGTGCCAATGCTATGCAAATGCTCTTCCAGCGACAGCCCTAGACCCCCAAATATGTTTCTGATCAATGTAGAAAGTATTCAGTTTCATTCGAGATGGAAAATATTTTTTATTATTCTTATTCCGAGAGTTTTGAGATTGAAGTTGGTAATCGTTCCTGCTTTGTTTCCAAACTTAAATTCAAAAATAATCTTTTTACTCTAGCTTTCTTTCAGTATCTCTTTTGCCAGGTAGATTTAATTTTGGGATTACTATGAACAGGATTGGAATAGATTTATATTCAAATATATTTGTAAGTTGCATGGCGTGACAGATGAAGATTCTTGATACCGTGAGTGTGAACCACCCTTAAGCTTCCAAAACCTTACCCTATGAGGTATGGCTAGGGCATACACTTATTTATTAAGAGGATATATTGTTTACCTAATAAAATAAGTAAGCAAAGACTACTGTGTCAGGCAGGAATGAAGATGCTAAGGGTATGAGGATCACTGTTGGTGGGAGGGTTCAATTCTCAAGAGTCTCAGAAAAGAAGGTCTTGCCAGGAGGGAGTCTTTTCAGTGAAGATCTGAGGACAAGGACAGCCCTGTGGCTGAGAAGTCTCCAGGCGAAACAGCTGCATCAGTAAGTCTGGATATCAGGGAAGATCCAGGCTGCAGATATAAATTGGAAACTTAATAGCCATATTTTTCTGAGGTGTACCAGGCAAACAAAACAATGACTTTTGTGAATCTAAATGGGTAGCATGTGTCTAGGGCTTAACCCCCAAATTCCTGGGGGGTTGCTTATTAGACTCCACCACACACTTTTCACTGAAGCTTAGGGAAGCAGAAGATCAGAGGTGTTCTAAGAGAGGTGTGTGTTTTGTGCCTTAACACACTCCACTGAAGACAAGGTGTGGGTGGGAGTGTTGCTTTATTGGAAAGGCCAAGGATTCCAAAAAAAAAAAGCCCTTGACAAATTAACTCATTCTCAGCCTTAAGAGCATGGAAATGTGATCATTTCTCTCTGTTCCCAGAGAGCATAGCAGAGGAAATCAAGAACTTCTGCAGTTCTCAAGGACACCAGGAGAAAGGTGTTGTCCAAACGGACATAGCAACACGTTTCCTAACACGAGAGCTTGCTGGCGTTTATTGCTTCCTTTATCTCCTTTGCTTAAGTCCTTCTGACTTCAGCATGGCCCTGCTGCCCCTCTCTGACACTTTTCACCAGTTTTGTGAGCTTCACAAGTAGTTTTTACAGGCCCAATTAAGAACAGGGTTTATGATGCTTACTTGATCCTCAGAAATCCCAAGGGAGTGGCTGGATCTCGAGTGGATGCAGAGGACTCCCTTGGAGTCCAGGGTGAGGTGCTGGGCAGAGAAACCCTCCCTCTGGCCGCAGGGGAATTCAAGCCACCACCCGCCCACTGTGCTCCTTTAGGGCTCAATCACTGCTGGCAGAGCAGCTGTGGTGGCCTGGGAGCTGCTCAGAGCCCTGCCACGACGGCATCACAGCTTCAGCAGGTGCACGTGTGAGGGACATGAATGCCCGGATGTGGCAGCCCTGGCTGGAAGGTCACCTGGGCCCTTATTTTATTCAGAGTTCTACAACCCTTTGTGAAGACCATTGTAAACAAACCTAGACTGGAGCGAGACATCCTCTCATGCTGACCAAACCAACAATTTCCTCACGTGTGGTTCAGGGTGCCTGCTTCCAGACTGAACCAGACCAACTATCTCTATAGACTTCCCAGTGAAACAGTAAGTCTCTTCCAACCACACGGGTACTTTAAACAGTGTGTACAGAAAATTAAAAAAAATTTTTTTTTTTTTGCTAAACCCATTCTATCATGGCTTTATTAATTTCTTTATTTGAAAAATAAATGCTATCCAGAAGCAAAAATCCCTCAGACTAGAAGACTGCCAGATGTGATTAAGGAGACTGGCCAGCTTGGGGGGATTTTCCACTTGTGGTTTTTTTCCTATTATGTAATAGTAAACAGATATTAATTATTCTTAATTTAAAATGCTTTAGCTGATAATGATATCAACCGATGCAGAAAAATGGTAGCATGCTAAGCATTTCTGTGTGAACTTGAATGATGGGATCTGCTGGTGTATTGTTCCCTTTCTTTTCTCTGGGGAAGAACTGTCTTCCTCCTCAAAAGCCAAGAGAACCTGAATTTGGATGCAACTTCTACAATTTCCAAGGAGGCATCTTTTTATTGTAGAAAAAGATGACTGTGTGATGCCACAGTAATTTTCAATTCCCACTCCCATCAATGCACACACACACACCCACATACCCACACACACCCCTACTCCTGCCTAAAGGGTACCTGTTATCAGGCTAGTTGTGGTGAGTATAACTCCTCTCTCGTGGGTGCCTGGAGCTGTGCATAGTTATGTCTCCTGAAATATGACTGCAAAGTAAGGTTAGTAATATTAACCTGATTTCTTTATTAGCTATTTTTGGCCAAACTAGCACTTTCTTTGCTCTGAACATCTGCAGGGTTTATTGCTTATATAAAATCACAGGACTTTTCTTCTATTACTCCTAAAGTCATATATCCAACTGGATAATAAT